CACGTGAGACGTTCGTTGTTATAGCGCGACTGTTGAAATTAAATGTATCGCAAAGTTATATTCAGAAAGAATAAACCAGTTTTATTTAAGAAAGGACTTGTGTCGCTAAAGTTTCGTCGGAACGAAGTTACGGAAAATTAACAAACGAACGGAGACGTAACAGTACATTACCAAACCGAAATACGAGTAAATGTCATGCAGTGTGTAAATTAAGACTTGTTCAGATTCAAAATACCATATTGTGTAGCATATATCATAGTATTACACACACACACCTCCCCAGCCTCTAAATGTTTATGAGGCGTTGGACCGTAAGAACCTTCTATTTGTGACATGTAGCATCAAAATGGGTAGTAGATCATATTCAAAAGATAAAAAAAAATTAGAATTTTCGCTTAATGGATCAAAATGCCATTGCCCCCTGATGAAGACAGGTTCACTTGTCGAAAGTTCTAAGATTTTATCGATTTTTAATTAAGCTAATGGGGCGTATAACCAAGCTAAGTTTTATGTTTGGGGTTCCTTGTAATTTATATCTTACAGTTCGTGTAAATTTTACCCCACTTCAAACTCTTCTTAGATGAGAGATATTTTGAAAAAAAGGAAAGCAACAGTTAGTGTTATAAAAAAAATCTTTCGAACCCAACTTGATTTATTATATACCGGCGAGTGCAGGAAAATCGTCTGGCATTTTGTCGGTGATGGCGGGATTAACGTAAACGTGTACGTGAGAGTTGTATTATACATACTTAAAACAGTTTTTGAAAAAACATCTCTTAAGAATTTACCCGGTGAGTAAATTGTAGTAGTGACCCCTGTGTTTTTAATTTTATGCTCAATCTTGGATGTCACCTAAAGTCTTTAATGTTTTCAAGAAATCTCGAGCCTACAATCGTGTACATAATTCGTTTTTTTGTTGAGTCATCGGTTGTAGCCAGATATACCGAAAACATTCCTATTTACATTTCTATACAACATAGAAAAGGTGTTAATATCCTTTCTTATAACTTAAAAACCAGAATACTCCAAATAGGCTTTCTAATGATGAAATAGTGTATTCGCGTTAGCCTCCAGCACTGCTTTGTAAAGATTACACGTAGCTGTGCATGTGTCAAACAGAACTGATTAATGTACTGTTAACCGAGAGACGGAAATTGCTGTTTACATTAAACTTTCTATTTCGAAAGTTGTGTTGTTTTAGTAATATTAAGTGTGTGTACCGCGTGCTAGCTTAATTTATACAACTCGAGCTCTGCAGTAGAAAATTTTATCCTTGTATGAACAAGTATTTGTATGGTTTTGAAACATAAGGTTACGTGTTCCTAACGTGTATGCTGTAACATAACACTTTTGTACGTCTATTAAAATAAATTAAAAAATTAATAGGCCTTATGACCAAAATTACACATTCTGTGTTATACTTATAGCGTCAGTTGGCAAACTTTCAAAGAAAATGATGAGCTTTTTTGTTAATAAACAATTCTGCATAGTTCAGAAGAAACTTTACTATATATGTATATATAAGTTATGACAATAATTATTTATATTTTACAACATGGCAGCTTCTACTTCTAGCATTTCAGTGAGCGAATGATGAGATAAAACTTAAATGTACTTACATGTGTGGTACTTTGTGTTGGGTATAATGAACTAGATATCTTTAACCATTAAAATTTTATTTCAGTCACAGCATTTCGTTCCGCAAACTATTAATTTTATTAAATTTACTGGAGCAAGGTTTTCGTTATTTTAAGCTTTACTATTGATCAGTGGCTGACTTTAGGCTTAACTGAGATCGTTAAAGCTCCCAACTCTCATTGTTGAATCACATCTGTTACGTTCTCTTGTAATTCGCGTGAAAACGTCAGATATTGATAAGATTAGACACTACTTGTCCCATGACGGTGTGTACACTGCTTTTTTTTATTTTTACGACACTAATAAATCCGTAACTGACCAATCAGTTTAATTAATGCATAATGAATCCTTTTAGCTCTGGAGAAACAAAATTTACCATAGCAAATATATTGAATTAAATGTCTTTTGGTTTTTTCTGAAGATAGTTAGAATATTTTTTATTGATATATACATATATATATAAATTGTTAGAAGATTTAACTAGGGTTGATCGCAACTCTCAATGAAACTTTGGTTGTTAGTGTCATGATTGTTTTCTATATAGTTCTTTTAAGCTATGGGAGTACTATTCATGATGATGAGCCTCTGTAGTTACTTGATAACTTTATGAAAAACGTTTATAAAGATGGCTATTTTTGATGCTAACAAACAGCTGTGTATTAGCTGTTATGATGAGATAAATGGTTTTTCTTTTATCTAGTTGTACAACCGGTTACCGTGGCTCCTGTGTCATTAAATAAGAATGAAGCTAAGGGTATGGCCGACACTATTGTTCGGGAATGGCTGGCTGATTACAAGGTAAGACCTGTTGATCTATAGTCATTGAGAGCTCTAAATGTAAGAAAATCTATTATCAGCTGCAAACAAGAAGCACAACAGAAAACTGCAAAAGACCCTTTATATATATATTTATATTTGAAAATAGTATTATGATTGTCCATTCAAAATGCTTGCATCATATGATGTCAACCACAGTTGAAGAGTTAAGAAAGGTTTGAAGCAATGCAGAGATCTAAAAGTAAACCTTAGAGTTGCCTTTATGATGTAACTTAGTTTCAAGTCAGATTTTAAAACTAAATGTACTATAATTTCGATAGCTCTGGAATATATACGTCTACATTCTCATCGTTTGAATGACAATTTTTTGATTAATTTAAGACTATTTACCTGGTTAATTTTGTGTATTTATTTTCAGGATCTCAGCTTGGCAGAAGTGCCCAGTTTTGCTTCAACAATCAAACAAAACACTGAATTGATTCAAGCAATTTTTACAGTATTAGAAGAAAAGAAATATCATGTTGAGGTAAGTAACGATCTTGTTCCTAAACTATGGGTTTTACACTTTCAATGCCCCCCCCCAAAAAAAAAATTTTAACACCTGCCCAAGTGTCAATTCTTAACTATATACCAGTAAAATTCTATGTAATAACTGTATGGCCAGGTGTTTAGGGAGCTTCACTCACAATCTGACAGTCATGGGATCATATCCCCATCCCACCAAACATGCTTGCCCTTTCAGCCGTGGGGGTGTTATATGTGATGGTCAATCCCATTATCTGTTGCTAAAGGAGTAGCCCAAAAGTTGGCGGTGGGTGGTGATGACTAGCCACCTTCTCTCTAGTCTTTCGCTGCTAAATGAGGGACGGCTAACGTAGATAGCCTCCGTGCAAGTTTTAGCAAAATTCAAAACTAAAACAAATTATAACCATAAGAGATGCAAGAATAAATGTTAATTGTATTGCAGTGAATTGGAGAATGATTGTTGTGTAAAAGTGTTTATTTTATAAAAAAACCATTAAAAGATTTTTATTGATAACAGATGTCACGGTCATTGAATCCTAAGTTGTAGAAGATCAAAGCGATTGAGGTGAAGGTAGAATAGTGTCGAGTAAACAACATTAACAGAAGAGAGAGGTTTATACTCTCGCAATCATATTAGTAGCTGAAGCAAATTAACTAACGTCGATAAGAAAGGTGAAATGTTGAAATAGTATAACTTTCTATCCTGTGAAACTAAGTAATCTTCATATTGTATCTATATGGTTTTGAGTCCATTTTACTTCACCGTATAAATCAACTAAGGTATGCAAATAATGTTATGACATTTCATTATTTGATATCATACAGCGGACCAACTGTTTAACGACCGTCTATTTATGTTAAGGATTTCTCTATATACGGCCTTCATGTTGCTTGATAAAACATAATTACACGTTTCATAGTAACTTAGTTCCTATTACTTACAACGTGGAAGCTACCTTCTTACAGTTTTCACAAAAAGGAACCTACATTGTGAATACCAGATTTGTTAACAAGTAAATTTTAAGTCTACTTAGGTTCCAGTTTTTCTTCATATGGGATTCATTCCCTACACTTTTCTTCCCATTTTAGTATGTTGACTAATTCATTTTGTTTTTCTTTTTTTAGTTTATCCTTTTACAGTCCCTACTTTATAATTATTACCATTCATCTCATTTAGTTTCTAATTTATCGTTCTTGCCATTAATTGATTGGTTTCCTGTAGTCTTCTGGACAGGTTCGTATCTACCATGGTTCCAGATTTTTCTTCAACTCAACATCATAAGGGATGCATACCTCACATCATTTTCTTCCCGTTTTTCACTTCGTTAACTATTTCATTTTGTTTTTCTTTCTAGTTTGTACTTTTTACAGTTACTTTAGTTTAATCTCTATTTTATACTTCTTGTATACTTCTTATATGCCAGTGTCTGTCATATCTGCTTCCCCGTATAATGACTGAACTCATTTTCGAAGATCTTAAAATTGCAGTTCTCCCTGTCCTTATCATGGAATGCCTTCCATACTTCCATAGCAGTATCTGCTAGACCTACTTTACACATTTTCAGACACGTTTTGCAGAATATCATCTTCATGTTTTCTGTGCTTTTCCATTTTGTCTCTTTTTGGGTTTGGGTACTAACAAGCTTTACCTTCTACGGGCTTACAATTTTTACCTTAGTTTAACTTCAGCCATTTTTCTCTCCCCCCCCCCTCTATCATCACTCATGCCTTTAATGTTTCCTGTTTCCCTTTATTCGGTGTTTTGTTTACATTTCGGGTTTGATGAGGGGTACCTCCTCTTTCTTCCCCTATGTTGGGGTGTTTGCCATCTTCTGTTTATACCCTCCTCACATGGCTTCTTTGCTTTTGGGTTAGTATAGGGTGTGACACTGTTGTTTGTTTCCCTTTCCATTATTAATAGGGTTTTATGATCTGTTCCTTTTCTTGTCTTGTCCCTTTTATGGGAGCATTGCTCCTATGGGTGGCACCTGTTTGCAGTTCCTCCTATTTCATGTATAAGTTCTGCTTTTTTGGGCCCCACACATAATATTCATATCCTTGCATGTCATGTTCTGGGTGCTCTTGCTGAGTTTGCAGTTTGTTTTTCTCATCTATCCATCGGAGTGATCTATCGATTCTCTTGTTTTCTGGTGACTTTGTCTTCCATGGGACTCACCCAACATAGATCTGTTTACTACATCTCTTAACCTCCCATTACCTCTATTTGGCATCCAGTACCTCCTCCTCTAGCTAGGGCTGTTGATGCCTTTGGCCAGGATTGGCCCCACACGTTCCTGTATGTTCATTCACCCCCCCCCCCCATCCTTTTACTTCCATGGGTGATTTCCCTCATCCCTACCATTCTGTGTTAGGTCCTTCTTATGGCTAGCTCAACTGTGGTTTCTGTGATTTCTCCAGCTCCAACTTTTACTTCCACTGCCTCTTCCTTTGTCTCCTGCCCCTCTTCATCCACTTCGTTCGCCAGTACTCCATCCAGACATTCACATCATTTGTCTTCATGTTTGGCTCTTATTCAGTCCATGGTGGGGAGATCAGATTTATACCTGCAGTTAGCTTTCTTTTAGCTTGTCCCATTTGCTCTTCGTCAGTGGGCATTTATTGGCATAAATGGAAAGTGTTCTGCAGTTAATCTACAAGTCAGAGATTTCCTGCGGATCGAACCCCTGTGTCTCGGGTGGCAGAGTTTCTTCCCTGGTTTTTCGACCATGGGTTATCGGGTAGTCATGTCCCATGCCTTTGTTTGTTTTTTTCACGATACTGTGGAGTTTTTAACCTCACCTATGCTTACTATGTTCCTTCCGGATTAGTCGTCCTCCCTGACTGCCTACCATTCTGACCTGGGATATTATTATGATTTTTTTCCCCTCACTTTACCTTAATTTGCATCACTTTCCTTCTGTTCCATGTTTCATTTTACCTTCAAACATACAGTATGGGTTCCACATAAAATGGCTATAACCATTCACTTCAGAGTAAAGCAGTGCTGTACTGCCAGTGTAGATGATGTAATATCCTCCGATTTGGGATTAGTCATACAACCTAGTGAGATGTCAAAATGCAGTCCCCCCCCTCCCTCCTTCAATAAGGAGCCTTCATCCTACTCTCACATGGATGTCAATACCTCGTGGGCTGGTTTTGTATTTCGAGTGAACCAATCAACATAAGTCCTCACACAGGTTTAGGGTTGTCTATCTTCCTCCCTCAATTTCCTCATGTGTTGTGGGTCACAGCAGGGGTACATGGGATTATTCTGGTTCTATCCTTGGCTCTCCCTCGTTCTCTTTTATTACTCTTTGGATTGTCTCAACCTGTTTCA